TGGAACTCGTGTTTTTTTAGTAGGAATGTGAAATGGTGCAACCACTAGGAAACAGTATGACTGTTCTTCAACAAATTAAAAATTACCATATGATTCAGCAATTTCACTTCTGGGTATATATCCAAAATACTTGAAAGCAAGGTCTCAAAGATGTATTTGTACATCTGTGTTTATAGCAGCATTATTCATGTTAGCCAAAATGTGAACGCAACCCAAGTGTCCACTGATGGATGAATGACAAACAAAAGGTGGTATACACACAACGGAATACTATTCAGCCTTAAAAAGAAAGGACATTCTGCAATATGCTACAACATGAATGAAGACATTATGCCGACTGAAATAAGCAAATCATAAAAAGACAGATTCTGTATGATTCCACTTATACAAGGTACTCAGAACAGTCATATTCATAGTAACAGACGACAGAATGGTGGTTGCCAGGTATTGTGGAGGCTTGGGGGGAATGGGGAGTTTAACGGGTACAGAGTTTCAGTTTTGCAAGATGAAAAGAGTTCTGGAGATTGCATAACAAGGCAAATGGACATAACACTATTGAACTGTATACCTCAACATGGTTAAGATGTTAAATTTTACGTTCTGTGTAGTTTACCACTATAAAAAATAAAAAAAAAAATTTTTTTAAAGGATTTAGAGTAGTTTGTAATACTTCATACTTTGGAAAAAGCCTTCTCATATGTTCCAGTTGATCCTTACAGCATCCTAGTGAGGGAGCAAATTGGATGTCATTATTTCCATGTTAGAGTAGGGAAGATGCCTTGTAGTAGAGTCCTGGCACTCTCACAGCTTAGGGGTTGCAGGACCTCTCAAGGCTATCCTGGCGTCCTTAGTGATGAGATATGGTTTGACTTTTTTTCTAATCTTCACCCTTGTCAGCTCCAAGGCCTGGCTACCTGTATCCTCTGTTTTGCTGTCTCTTTATTTTTACAGAAGATGCCTTGCAGGACCCAGTAAGCTTCCTGTATTGGTCACTCTTCCAACTCTGGAGACTCATTCAGGAACAAGAGATTCTCCCAGATGCCCTCTTGGAACTCTACAGCCTTTCTCCAGTAAAATGAACAGAATTTAAGGGTCTCTGTTTAATGAGTTCTGACAAATGCATATACCCATGTAAACCCACACTCCCACAGAGTATTTCTAGTACCCCAGAAATTTTTCCCTCTCAGTTAATATGCTCTACCCTAAGGTAACTACTGTTTTACTTTTTTACTGTATGAGAAATTTTAATTCTTTTTTAAAATTTGGGTAGGGGTGGGGCGTGGGAAGAGATGGCTTTTTGCTGAGTATTCTTCCTAAGCTATTGTTTATGTCAGGACCTTGAGCCTGCTAAATGAAACAAAAAAGAAATAACTTCCTTTGTTTCTCCTTGCATTTTGGCTATAGCTTTCCTTTCTCTGGAACAGTGGAGATCAAGGTCTGGTTTGAGAATGGGTGAAGGAGGGTGACACATTAAAGAAAGGAAAATCCCTACGGACACACACATTTCATATCTCAACCCTCCACCATCTCCATTTTTGGTGCTTTTTCTAAATCCCTAATTATGGGAATTCTTCAAGCCTCTGTCTTCTATCTTGTATTTTTCTACTTAGAAAACTCTGACCTCTCACTTGTGGTCCAATGAATAAATTCATGGAACAGATAATAAGGGGCCATGCTAGGTACTTAGGTGGTACTGACATTAACATCCCTTCAGAGGTTTCTAGTTTGGTGGGGAAGACCAACATGCTAGCAGCAAATGCATACCCACCCTAAACCAAATCCTCCTCCTGCGCTCTCTTTCTTGTTGATTGGAACCCACACTAACCACTTACCCCAGAACCCCATGAGCCATCCTCCCTCTTGTTTCTCCAACTCCTCCATACCCTGCATCAATCAGTTACCAAAACTACGGATTTTGCCCCTAAAGTATTTCTCAAATGTACCATCTTAGTTACCACGAGCCTGGCTCAGGGAACCCTCATCCCTCCTCTGGGCCACGACCTCCCAGGCACCGCATCTATTTCAAAAACTGGCCATTCTCTAGGTCTCCATCATCTATGGGAGAGTGTCCCCAGTTCTCAATATCACACACAAGGGCTCCGATCATCTAACCTACCTCTAGCCTTAGAGCCTGCTGCCTTCATCCCATTCCCTCCATTCCAGCCATGTGGCACCTTCCTCCTGGCTGCCTCTTGTTATTGCCTAGGGACCCCTAGTCCCCACCCCAACACACACATAGATATACCAGTATCTTGTGTCTGTGTTTCTGTGGCACCCTGTCTGTGCCTTCTCTCATTGTGTGTAACTGCCTATCTCTCCCACCAGTCTGAGAGTTTCTTGAAGGCAACAAGCAAGTCTTGTTCATCTCAGTGCCCTCGGTGCTTAGCACATAGAAGGGGCACAACACGCATCAGACACTGTTATAAGCACTTTTTGCACATCACTTCAATCCTCATGACACTCTAGGAGGAAGGTGTTATTATTGTAGCCATTTGACAGTTGAGGATAACGAGGGATTAAACAGCTTACCAGAGACACAGCAGTCAGGAAGTAGCAGAACTGGGATTTAAACTCAAGCAATCGGGCGCCAAGCATGGCTCTCCATCACTATGCTCATGTACCCTTCATTTACATGTGTTTGTTGAATGAATGAATGAATGATGATCCCTTTCTAACTCACTATCTCAATATGTCTGTAACTAAATTCAACAATTCTCTCTTAATAGTTTCCTTTCCCCACATCCTTCTACTGCTCCTCCAGGGTTTCAGACTTTTCTCTCTCTCTTCTTCTCTTCTCCCCCCAACCCCATTCAATCCCTCATCACATCTAGGCGTTTTGTCTTATTTTTCTTTTGAAACATCTATCTGGTTCACTCCCTCCTCTCCATTCTCAACTGCCATCATCCTGGTCTGGCCCTCATCCCTTCAGGGCAGATGATTAAAGCAGCTTCTGTTTTTCCTGACTTCACTTCTTCACTTTTTTGGGACTTTGGGGTTTATATGTATTTTTTATTTAACTCTCACCACAACTCATGAGTTCGATACTATTATTTATGTTTTATAGATGAGGAATAGAATGATAGAGCCAAGGTTCAGCGGGGTTTGTCTGGCTCCAAGGATGTTGCCATCTCCAGAGACTGGTGACTCTGGACGAGTCACTTAACCTCCCAGAGTCTTAGATTCCTCATTCATAAAATGGGGATAAAAAATAACAGTAATAGCTGGGCTTGGTGGCTCAGCCTGTAATCCTGTGCTTTGGGAGGCCGAGGTGAGTGAATTGCCTGAGCCTGCGAGTTCGAGACCCGCCTGGGCAACTTGGTGAGACCTCATCTCTACAATAAATAAAAAAATTAGCTGGGTGTGGTAGCGTGCGCCTGTAGTTCCAGCTATTTGGAAGGCTGAGGTGGAAGGATCGCCGAAGCCTAGCAGGTCGAGGCTGTGGTGGCCGGGAGTGGCCACCGCACTCCAGTCTGGGTGACAGAGACTCCAACTCAAAAAAACCCCAAAAAACCAGCCGGGCTCGGTGGCTCAGCCTGTAATCCTGCGCCTTTGGGAGGCTGAGGTGAGTGGATTGCCTGAACCCACGGGTTCGAGACCCGCCTGGGCAGCGAGACCTCATCTCTACAATAAATCAAAAAAATCAGCCGGGCGTGGTAGCGCATGCCTGTAATTCCGGCTACTCAGAAGGCTGAGGCAGAAGGATCGCCGGAGCCCAGCAGGCAAGGCTGCGGTGGCCGCTTTCCAGTCTGGGCAACCGAGTGAGACTCCAACTAAAAAAAACCCCAAAAAACCCCCCCAAAACAGTATTAACTCATTGTGAGAGTAACCGAGAAAACTTAGCATCTTGCCTGACACACAAGTGCCTGGTGATTTTCAGTCAGTAAAGTCCACAATCCTTATCCAAAAACTGCATAGCATATCTGGTATTTGAGTTGTTTAATCATCCTGGCCAAAATGCTTTCAGGAAAAGTTCTTGAATCATAGTGAGAGGAAGTTGTCCCTTCTTTATTCCTCAAAGGTGCTTTCTCCTGAGAAGCACCACATGCTGTATGAAAAAATTACCTTACGTGGTCATTTGCTGAATGTACAACAAAAGAAAATACACCCTATTTGGTGAAAAGTGTACAGAATCTGTGACTCTTCTCTGTTCAGGCTGTGTGACCACAGGAAATTCTGAAACTTTTCTGAACATATTTTCTCATCTACAAAATGGGAATATTACCTGCCTCACAAGAACATGGAGATGTACATACAGGCTTTAGCACATTGCCAACACAAAGAAAGACCTAAAGGATTTGTGTAACATTATCATATTCAGATACCATGTAAGAGCATTTTTTTTTTTTTTTGAGTTGGAGTCTCACCTTGTCACCCAGACTGGAGTTCAGTGACACGCTCACGGCCACTGCAGCCTCGACCTGCTGGGCTCAGGTGATTCTTCCACCTCAGCCTTCCAAGTAGCTGGAACTACAGGCACGCGCAACCACGCCCGGCTAATTTTTTGATTTACTATAGAGATGAGGTCTCGCCAAGTTTCCCAGGCTGGTCTTGAACTTGTGGGCTCAAACAATCTTCTCATCTCCGCCTCCCAAAGTGCTGGGGTTACAGGCATGAGCCTCCGAGCCCGGCCAAGAGCATGTTTTATTATAAGTCGAGAATAAGATTAGCTATTGTCAAAATCCAGTGTTGAAAGTAGAGGAAAGGTAAAAGGATTTTGCAAATCAGGTACAACTACAGTCATCCTGGATACCTGACTGCCTGCCTCTTGAGGGAACAAGCAGCTCCTCCCACTCAAGCTTGAGGGGAGAGGCAGTAGACCACCGCCCACCTCCACCACCTCAGAGCCCCGCCCCGCGGACCGCGTGACGCCATGTTCAGGGTCCGCCGGCGAGAGGCGGGGCCGGCATGATCACGTGAGCGAGAGTGCGGAAGTACTACTGTAGACTGCGTTCGTGATTGGTCGCGGCTGAGCGCCCGGGGGCGGAGCCAAGCCGACAGCCACGCCGGGAGGAGCCGGGGGAGGAGGCTGCCGCGGGGGCCGGCGCCAGAGTCCTAGATTCGGCCCGCGGTGCTGACCGAGTGCTGGACCAGCGGCCGGCCAGTGTCTCCGGCCTGCGCGCGTGCCCGCTCCCTGCGTCCCCAGACAAGGCGCGAGTGGCTGAAGGAGCCGGTGGGGTGCATAGAGGGAGGCCAGAAGGGCGCGGGCGCCCTGTGCGCGGAGCAGGCGGAGGCGGCCGGGGGGCCGGGACGCCATGTCCATGGAGGACCCCTTCTTTGTGGTGAAAGGGTGAGTGTGGGCCAAGGTTTCTGCTGGAGAAGGAGGTGGCGGTGCTGCCCGCCTGCACCTCCCCGATCTTCTCGTTATAGGGGGAGGGGAGACAAGTTGAGGTTTGGAAGACGGTGTGGGAGCTGCTTAGCCTCGAGGGCCCTGACCTAGCGTCCAGAGACATCTATTCTCGCCCTACCTGGACTGTGAAACCTGTGCGACCCTTCTGTCCCCCACCAAGCTCCTGGCGGACGGGGCCCCCCTTCTGATCTACGCACAGCGGCCCCATTTATGTGGGGATCGAGGGCGTAGAAGCTCTGCAGGTGGGGAAGGAGGCACGGGTCCTGCCTGAACTGGGGCTCTAGTCGAGCACGGGACCCTGCTTGGAAGGCGCGAAAACAGCATCTGGGCAGGAAAAGGGAAATGGCCCTCCTGAGCTTTGTAGTTGGCTTTGACGGGGGAGAGCTCCATTGTCCATTGAGTTTGGAGCGCTCGCCCGCAGCCTGGTGCGACCGCAACAAGCCCAGAAGCGTCGAAGCACGTTTGCAGGGAGGAGGCGGGGGCTGATCCGGGAGGCTGGGGAGCATGGCACCGGAAGGCAGCTCAATTCATCGGGGGAGTTTTTACTGAGTAATGTGGGGAGTGGAAAGCAGGCGTTCATCCTCCGTGAGGATGTTGGAAGGAAAACAAGATTAAACCAGCCAAACGAAACTTTCCTCAGCTTTCTATTAGCAACCGGAATTTTCTCACAGTGCTAAAGGAAACGAGTGTTTCTTGTTAACTTCTTGATTTCATCTATGCTGTTTGACAGGTTCCCCCCATTTCTTCTTCGGCCTTTCAGAAGAGAACTGCCTTCTGTGTCCTTATGAGCTGTCCCGACTCCATCTTTGATGGCTAGACTGGTTCGTTGGAAGTAGAAACTTCAGTTGTGCCGCTTTGTAATATCAGTTGTAGCCAGTGAACAAATACAAGAAAGGTCAATGCTGATGCCGTAACTTGTTTCTTATTAGAAACTTGCCAGCTTTATGCTTTAAATGTCAAGCAAGCATTAAAAATCTGAGAACTACGCAGTTCCCAGAAGATCAGCACTAATAACCACAGAGCATCTCTTGCTCTCAACTAGTTGCTGCTTGCTTCCTATTCCTGTAGTGATGAAAGCTGACCAGTTGCATTGCTGTTTGTTGTGTTTAAGTGTTCCCAGAAAATTTAAATGAAATGCTTTATTATCTGTGATACAGTAAAATACACAGCCAGGCTCGGTGGCTCACCCTGTAATCCCGCTCTTTGGGAGGCTGAGGTGAGTGGATTGCCTGAGCCCGCGGGTTCGAGACCCGCCTGGGGAACTTGGCGAGACCTCATCTCTACAATAAATCAAAAAATTAGCCGGGTGTGGTAGCACGCATCTGTAGTTCCAGCTACTTGGAAGGCTGAGGCGGAAAGATCGCCGGAGCCCAGCAGGTCGAGGCTGCAGTGGCCGGGAGTGGCCACTGCACTCCAGTCTGGGCGACAGAGTGAGACTCCAACTCAAAAAATAAAAATAAAAATTATATATATATATATATATATACTTATACTACTTAACATTTCCTTAGAAAGGATTTTCTTCACTTTAATTTAGATAGAAAAAATGCCCAATTGTAGATTTACTAGTAGTATGTGACTCCCTGCCTGGAAAAATGTGTTATTTATTTGAAGGATTGATTTAAAGGCTAATTTTTAAAATTTAAAGCTGTGTGGTTTTCCCTTAAATGAAAGTTCTTCATGCTTAGGTTGCAAAGGTTATCTCTGGCAGTTGAGATCAGAGATAGTAAAACAATTTTTGTTTGACTTTTAATGGAATTTGTGAAAACCCTAAATTGCTCTGCCAACTTGACTTTTTTCCCTGATAGCATCCAATATAATCTACCAATGCCTGCTCACTAATGAAGTATCACTGCTTTATTGGACCGTTGGCTTGGAGTTTTGGTGACTTTTACATCATTTTAGCTCATGTCTTTAAGGTGTCTGAAGGAAAAGAGATTCTCAGTGCTGTGGAAAGTCAAGTCAGTTGTCAGGACATCTCCAGATGTTTGTGTGACTATGCATTTGGGGAACCCTCTACCTCTGTTTATTCAAAGTACTGAAAATGTATCGCGTAGAGTGGAAAAATTAAAGATGTCTAGATTATAGCCCTTAGCCTAGGGGCTTCTCATTTAATCTGAGAAACAAATTACTCTGAAATTAGGTAGAAATAACAGGTGGTAAATGATTAAGTGCTGAAATGACTGGAATTCAGAGCAAGGCAACTCCTTGGGAATTGATATGGTTGGAAAAGCTTTTGGAGGTAGTAGTGAGTCCTGAATTAGGTTTTGAAGATGGGTAGAATTTAGATAATTGAGGCCTGTCTCTCTTATTTGGCGCTTATCAAAGAGTCTTTTGATTGGCTTCCTGCTTCTGGTTGCTTTCCTTTTAGCTGCCTTTGGAGCTATTGGCTCAGTGCTGTCCAATAGAAATGTAATGCAAGTCACATAAATCATTTTAAATTTTCTAATAGTCACATTAAAAAGAAAAGCAGGTGAAATTAATTCTGTTTTCTCTAACATATTCACAGTATTTCAACGTGTGATTGAAGATTATTGATGAGATAGTTTGCTTTTGTATTGCCTTGAAATCTAGTGTGTATTTTATACTTACAGCATGTTTGTATTTTAACGTTATATTTTTATCAGAAATACTTGATCTGTGTTTAGAGTTCATTACACTTACAGTTGAAAAAAATTAAATTCACATACCCTAATTGTTCCAAACATACCTAAAATTTTTTCTGGTAACTGAATTGCGTATTAGCTTTTAAGTTTAAATTAAAATTTAGTTTCTCAATCACACTAGCCACGTTTCAAGTCTGTAGTTGTATGTGGCTTCCATATTGGGCAACACTGCGTAGCCTTTCTAGAGCACAGGAGGGCATAACTCTACTGAATGAAGTGCAAACACTTCTGACCTTTCTGCTCCAGTCCTTTCTCTAGCCTCCTCTTGGGACTGTGCTGCAACACTGAATGCCCATACTCTGCATCACCCACTCTGCCTGACTCACCCGCTCAGCCTTCAGGATTCAGTGTAAGCGGCTCCTGGCCTCTAGGAAGTGTTCCTTAGCACCCATGATTATTCCTCCAACTGTCTTTCATTATTAAACTGTGAGCTCTGAGGGTTGGGATTGTTTGTTTTTCCTGCAGTTCCATCTACACCTTGAATATATAGTGTAGATGTTGACTGCATACTCTGGTGGTGGTGGCGGTGGTGAAGGAGTGATCCTTCATGGATGAGAACATCACCAGCAAAAGGCCCCAAGGTGGGAATTGTGTGTTTAGAACTCATCAAGGAGACCAGTCAGGTAGAGTAGGCAGTTTGGGTAAGTAACAATAATAGCTAACTTTTAAGGGAAGCATCACCTGTGCCACCCTGTCTGAATTTTCACTTTATAAGAACAGCTATATGATGTGGGTACTAGCCACATTTTTTTTTTTTTTTTGAGTCGGGGTCTCACTCTGTCGCCCAGGCTGGAGTGCAGTGGCATGATCATGGCTCACAGCAGCCTTGATCTCCTGGGTTCAGGAGATCCTTCTGCCTTAGCCTCCCGAGTAATGGGACTACAGGCACATGTCACCACATGTAGATTTTTCATAGAAACAAGGTCTTGCTAAGTTGCCCAGGGTGATCTCAAACTCCTTTAATTTAGATGGGGAAAATAATCCTCTCACCTTGGCCTCCCAAAGTGTTGAGATTACAGACTTGAGCCACTGTGCCTGGCTTCTAGCCACATTTTGGAGCTGAGGAGGCATAGAAGGGTTAATTTCCTTCCCAGGAGCACACAGCTAATAAAAGTAGTGGACCCAGGATTCAAATTTGAGCAGCCTAATTCCACACATACTGTTAATACTTCACAGTACAGGTAGAAGAGATTCAGGTTTTGTTGGCCTGAGAAGAATCTCATTTTGAGGCCATTACTGAGTTTTAAAGCGGAGAAATGTCCCGAAATTAGGGTTTTAGATATATTTGTTAGTAGTACTGGATGCCTCAGTGTGAGTACAAATGAAAAAGAAGACCAGTGAGAGAGCTGTTGTAATTTAATATGCAGTGATTAATGCTTGAGTGTTTGAAGCTGCTTTGGGGAGGTTTGACATTGTCACTGTCTTGTTCAGAGCAGAATCCCTGATCAGGATTGCGCTTTTAATCCTTATGAAGTAGGTACTGTTATTATCATAGTACAATGAGGGAAATGAAACGTAGAGAGTAAAAATCTTGAAGTTTATATGATTATAAGTGGAAAGGCCAGAATTTATATATTTATTATTAGTGATATTAGTCTTTGTAGAAGTTGAGATTATACTTTATATATGGTTTTATTATATTTTCATGTGTATTTCCTGATATCCTTAAAACTTCTTCGGGGAGCTTTTACTGACTGCATTATATTTTGTCATATAAATGTGTAATTTATCACCCAAGATGCACATATGTGATATATCTAATTTTTTTATACTACAATTAATAGAGTGATAAGCTTTCTTGTCATAGGTCTTCATTGCTGCTTCTGATTCATAGCCTACATTTCTGTAGCATAATTGCTAATTCAGAGGACATGCACAGCAAGGATTTTGACGCATATTACCAAATTGCTCTCCAGAATATCCCCCCTTTCCCCACTGAAATGTTTGGGGATCCCATAACCTTTGATCCCTTGATTCACATTTTAAAAAATCATTACTAGTTTTCTGGGTGAAAAATACTATATTTGACTCTTGTCTTCTTCATCTTTGTATTCAGCAGGGACTTATTCAGTGAACCAATTTTGAATTTTTGGTTCTATAGTTTTTTTCCTCTCTTGTTGGCAAGTTTTTAGAATTTGCAACTTCTAATCGAACAGGCCACTAAGAAAACCACATAATTGAGCGTGTTGAGATATGAGACTCTTGGTACCAAGTGAGTCCCTCTAATTGGTGAAAGGCATGAATGTGATGACTCTTTACTGTTTTGCTGCTTTT